CTAGACGGTCTTGCGTTGAAAAGGCTGCAACGTTTCATCCCCCCATTACATTTTTTGTTGAAATACGTTACATGCCGTGAGCTGGATGTCGCACTGGGACATGAAGTCTCGACATTGGGAAATGACCCTCGTTCCTCATCTCTCGCCAGGCTTCTAGAAACAGTGTACGGGATCCGCGGCACGGCCAGACGCGTTTCTACTATTGTACAAGCTCGGCCTGTCTCGCTTCATTTCCTGGTATAATATCGAAGCAAGACGCAGTTGTGAACTTCCCAAGGAAACCACACGGATGTATGCAAGATTCTGCTGCTCTACATCGGGGCTCGGGAGCGCACATCCTGTGTCGGACAAATGAGCTAGCGACGTGTAGCTCGTTTCGGCCCGTTATCAAGCGTCCTTGCATGGCTCGTGTGGAGCAATTTGCGCCATGTTCGGAAGGCTGACAGGTTTGAAAGAAGAATGGAGTAGTTCTCAACGAGAATCCGAGCCAGAGGGTGTCTCATGTGTAAGGCAATCCGCATCGGATACATTTCGGATTACTTCGTCCACCTGAACACCCGCGTCCGACGGCATGTCTATATCTATTTCGAGAATAGCCTTGTTACGCTGGTGTCTTCTTCGACCAAGTCGGCTCCCAGTCGGGTATCGTCCGTCTAAAGATAGCAGCCGGTATTGCTTTCAATATTCACTGATTGCAGTATTATCAAAGAGCCAGAGAGATGTTCAGTGACAAGGTAGCTTCGAGTGGCATAGAGATGTAAGATTTGAGACTGGGATCGATCTAGAACTTCCGCTTCTTCCGTGCTGGTCCCGACGTAGCCTTTTTCTGTATCTCCTGTTGTAGTTCATCTCGTTTCCGATCCGCCCGTTCCTGTGACGTCTCCCTGGGCTTCGTCGACGGCTTCTCGCCTGCTGTAGGCCTTCCCCTGGTTTCGGCATCTTCGGTCTTCGGCTCTGGAGTCTGCGATGGACGCGTGCCTCTGCCTATCCTGCCCAAGCCAGTCTTCTTAGGTGGCTCTGGTGATCTAGAAGGTTGGCGGTCGTCACCAATGCGGCCTAAAGCCCCCTTCTTCGGAGATTCTGGAGTCTTTGAGCGACTAGCACGACCACCGCCGATACGACCTAAGCCCCCTTTGAATTTACTCGCGGCAGGCTTTGGTGGTGGCGAGACCTCAACTACCGATACTGCACTTTCGTCTTCAGATGCCGTTTCAGTATCCGAGCCTGGAGCAGCTAGCACAGGATCCTTCAAGCCTGAAGATCTCGTTTCTGTTGCAGGCTTGCCTTTCTTTCCTATCGTACCCAGGTGGTTAGTTAGAATGACGGGGGCTTCAAGAGGTACAGGTACGCTATCTGGAATATGAGATTCGTTGTCGTCTTCAGTGCTATCGTCGTCGCCGCGTGCGGAGGGCGGCGGGACGGAACGTTTCCGGGTGGGCATGAGATGGGGAGGCGTCGACTGCACTTGGAAATCATCGTCTTGATCCTCTCCCGCAATCCCCTTGTTTGCCGGCTCGCTGTGATCATACCCCTCTCGTTCGGATTCGGGAGGCGACATTGCCGGCTGGCATGAACGGGACCTCGACTTGGGTCCCACAATCGGGATACATAACGCCTCTGGCTTAGCCCACCAGTCGTCAAGGGGAGTTGCAGTGTCCACGTCAGCCTTGCGACTATACTCGAGTCCTTCGCCGCCAAAGACGCTCTCAATAGCACTGAGAACGTCCTCCGGATCGTCGTCCAACTGCGCCTTCCAATCCTCGGAAGAAAAGGGAGCCAAACCCTTGACCTTTTCCTCTGCCATCTTTCTCGTGGGTTTCTGTTTCGCTGACAAGACGGCGAAAACGTTCTCAAGGCGAGTTCCAGTAGCGTCCAATTTGTCCAGAAGTTTCATGATAACGGCATCCTTTTGCTTGATGGTTTCTGTAAGGGACTGCACTCGCCGGCGGCCAAGAGAGTTTGCTTGTGCGAGGGGTACGACAAGTTCTGTCGTGAGCTCTGACTGGGGACACTTTTGCATATAGACCGGCCATTCCAAAGGCTGCATGTTGTCCAGCTCGCAAGTAATACTCAATGTCAGACCTTGCTCCCCAGCTTCCTTGTTGGAGCGTGTTGATATCAACATGGATGCTTTGTCATGGTCTCGGTGGCTTGGATCAAAGACAGAACGAATCTTGGACAGGAATGCTCGCATGTTGCTGTCGCTGTCCGTCGGGTCGATACTGGTGGACTCATTGAGGCTGCGCTTGTAGATGGCACGCCGATCCAACGATTCGGACCATATGTTGGTCAGGTCTGTAACGAAGATTGTGTAAGATGTGGCCGTGAATGTTGTCGATACCAATAGGTTGGGCAGATCGCCTGAAGTGGGCACAGGCAGCCGTCGCCAGACGGGCGGTGTTGTCATGGCTGCGTAAGTCCCGTATACTCGATGACCAAGGTCAAATTTCCGTGGTGTATCAGATGAGAGAATACGCAACTAGCCGCGTGAGAACTTGAAGCGGCGTTATCTCGCAGCTGGAGAGCCGGTGCATTGACGGCACGTCAAGAACCGATTCAGACGAAGCCTTGCAGCAGGTGGTCGGGGTTCGAGCAGAAAGACTTCCGGTGCGACGTTACTGTAGAGTACGTCGGCCCTATTCTTTCGACAGAGTCTTGATGGAGCGTTTTGACCCAGCCCTCAATGAAAGAGTTGGAATGAAGTGAGCGAAGGCCACGGCGGTTGTGTTACTCGCGGCATCTATGAGTTGCTCCGGATGGGCGTGGAAGGATGGTGGTCGGTCAATTTTGGGGGCGTCTGATGCAGAAAGGATGTGGTGGTCTTGCAGTGACACGTATGACAAGAAGCAGTAGCCTCGCGGAACGGAAAGGATGGCGGAGATGTTGAGGATGATGGAATTCGTCGGGTGGGAGGGAGTCGGTAGAGCAAGACGTGGAGGTGGAAGGTATCACCAAAGACTTGGCGCGCTGCAGTGCGTCAACCAGGCAGCCACGTACAGTAAGAGAGAAAAGTTGGAAACTGTGGCTTTGAGTTGTCAAGCCACAATGGAGGAGGGAGGGACAGAAATGTGGGGGCGTTTCGCGCACTCTCTGCACTGTGTAGGGAGGCACAGGGTGAGAGGGTCGTCTAATCTACAATACCACGGTGAGAACATGCGTGAGAGTGAGCATGTGCATGAGGGCAGCATGAAGAAACGGGTGCCAACGTTCATACGTCTCATATCTAAGGGCAAGTGAGGCTGTCGAGGATAGCGTACCACAACATTGGGTGGGTGTCACGACATTGATAGACCAAGTCTTGAGTACTTGTCCAAATACTTGTCCATGAATGTAAACCGAATGGGGATTTTCAATCGTTACCTCTCATTTGGATCTCTTCTCTCACTCCATGTTAGAGTAAACAGGCTGCAACCGACTGAATTGACGTGTCTCAGAAGCAACGTGGTCCAACTCGGGATGACTGAGAGCTGGGAGACTTGAGGCTGAAGTGGGATAAGGTTTGGACGAATTCCCGGCAAGGGCATCCTGACACTGGCAGTAGGTACCATACCACTGTAAGTTCACGTCAAGAATGGCATACCTAGGAGTGTCTCAGTCAGGTTCGGTACGGCTTATATCCTCTTTCCAGTCATACGCTTTTCCATCTGCTAATTCTCTTACTCATCTCATTCATTGTCTTCCAAGCTCAGTGCCTTACTCAGCTCAATGGGATTAATGAGGGCACGTGCATATGACCTTATGTAAGTCTAGGTTGACGATGAACTCCGGGTACGTACCCAATCTACCTTGGGTCTGTGGTCGGGCATTTTGAACGTTTCCCAGTCTCCTCTACTACCTTATTATTTCTTGCTCATACTTACCTTAACTAGGTCCCTTCAATGGAGTCAAGTCAAGCGCCTTTGCAACATCAAGAGTCCAGAACTCCAGCTTGGGTAAGACTTCCGCCAGCCACTGACCGCTTCAAGATCAACAAGCAGCGTTGAAAAGTGAGACAGACCGTTGTAATGCTACCGTCAAGGCGGAGCTGGGCCGCTCTAGACTCCCTGAAAAAAGCCTGAGAAAGCCGTCACTCATCATCATCCGAAGTATCTCATTGGCGCAGCTATGCACCGCCATAGCGCCCCCATATTTCCCACCTCGCGTGGCGCCGAATGCGCCACTCGTTTTCCTCCATTCCACCAACATCCACGCTTCAGCATCATTGCATGAGAAAACCCCCCCCCCCCCCGTCTATCGCCAAGATCCCATGCGAGCCTGTTGACTTGGTTTGACGTCTTTCGGTGCTACGCCACCCCCGCTGAACAAGCTTGATTCACGATTCCTGCGAGCCTCTGGCCAGGCGCTGACTGGTCCGTCAAGGGCATATCACCAGTGCCATGCTTGCCAGGCACGAAAAGCAGGGACAGGGACATGGCGAATGACGTTCCCAAGTGAGGGGAGGCTTTACCAATTTCTCGCACCGCACCATGGCATTTCATGGCAACAAAGTAGGATACCGGTGGCAATCTTCCACGCCGCTGGCAACCTACCATTGGCCATCATTTCTGTGCTCCGCTGCCAGCCACACCTCAGCCATGCCTACAGTACGCCTGTCTTGTGCCTGGCTCGTAGGACAGACCTGGCTTTCCAAGAGAAGGGAATGACGACGGCGGAAGGCGAAACTGGCAGGCGTTAACGTCCACTACCTTGCAATGGGATGATCAGCCAGGAACGCTATCCGTGTCCCGTCACTGCTACCTAAACACGCCAAACATCAAGGATCTTGGTTATGGCTCGGCCTATCCCACCGCAAGAAGCTGGACATCACCTGCTTCTCTCGCCCATAATTCGTTGTTGGGGCCTCCAGAGTACCGGGAAGGATTGCGACGCCAGAGGGGATCCCCTGGCATGTATAAACTGAGTATACCTGCGACCTTTAACAACCCACTACCGCCCACCCGTTCAGCGCACTCCGTGTTATGCTCTATTGCTCTCGATAAACCCCCTTCGTGGCAATAATCATGGGACAGAAGCCTAGCAGCCCGCTGGCGACTTGTCTCGACAACGTCTGCAACGGCCGCTCCTCTTGCGTTGGATACCCAAACGACCCTCTCTTCCAGCTCAACTGGGTGAAGCCGTACAATCTCGATATCCCGGTGGAGCCCATCGCTGTCACAAAACCGTCAACAACGGAAGATGTCGCCGGTTTCGTCAAATGCGCTGCAGACAACAATGTCAAGGTCCAAGCCAAATCGGGAGGCCACTCATATGCGTAGGTTTCTCGAAATGTCATCGTTATCTAGTCCACTGCTAACACGGTCGTCTACCCGCAGCAACTTTGGCATTGGTGGCACCGACGGCGCTCTCGTCATTGACTTGGCAAACTTTCAAAACTTCTCCATGGATACGAACACTTGGCAGGCAACTATCGGCGGAGGCCACAAGCTGCACGACGTGACGGAAAAACTGCACGACAACGGGAAGAGAGCCATGGCTCACGGCACGTGTCCCGGTGTAGGCATCGGAGGCCATGCCACAATTGTTAGTCCCCCGCAGTTGGCGATCCATCAGGTCTTCGTGCGCCCTGCTAACGCAAGTCACATTTAGGGCGGTCTCGGCCCCAGCTCAAGGATGTGGGGAAGCTGTCTAGATCACGTCGTGGAAGTTGAGGTGGTCACCGCAGACGGCAAGATCCAGCGAGCAAGCGAGAGCCAGAACTCGGACCTCTTCTTTGCTCTCAACGGCGCCGGCGCCGGCTTCGGCGTCATCACCGAATTCGTTATGCGGACCCACCCCGAGCCCGGCGATGTTGTGCAGTACTCGTACGCCATCACTTTCGCCAAGCACCGCGATCTTGCACCCGTCTTCAAGCAATGGCAAGACCTCATCTCTGACCCGGAGCTAGACCGTCGGTTCAGCAGCGAATTTGTGATGCAAGAACTCGGCGTCGCCATCACGGCTACGTTTTACGGGACGGAAGATGAGTTCAAGAAGACGGGCATTCCAGACCGCATCCCCGAGGGTAAGGTATCCGTGGTAGTAAATGACTGGCTCGGCGACGTTGCTCAAAAGGCACAAGACGCGGCGCTCTGGTTGAGTGATATCCAGTCACCCTTCACCTCCAAGAGTCTCGCCTTTACCCGCAACGACCTCCTCAGCGAAGATGGCATCCAAGGAATGATGGACTACGTGGATGGTGCCGATCGCGGTACCCTGATTTGGTTCCTCATCTTTGACGTCACCGGCGGCGCAATCAACGACGTGCCCATGAACGCTACTGCCTACCGCCACCGCGACAAGGTTATGTTCTTCCAGGGCTACGGTGTCGGCATCCCGACTTTGAGCAGCAAGACCAAGGATTTCATGTCTGGGGTCGCCGACAAGATTCGGAAAGCGAGTCCTAACGAGCTGAGCACATATGCTGGGTATGTCGACCCGACACTCGACAACGCGCAAGAGAGGTACTGGGGAACCAATCTTCCAACGCTGGAGCGCATTAAAGCGACATGGGATCCCAAGGATTTGTTCTCGAACCCTCAGAGTGTGCGACCCAATGCGAGCGCAGAGATTGTTGAGCCTACGACTAGTGGTGGTTCGGATGGGTCGAATAACAGCGATTCGACGGGCGGTGGCAGCTAGGAAGGGGCCGGGAGCACCCGGCATTCACCTGGTCTCACGGGACTTGCATTCACGACGGTTATGGTTTTGGCATTCTCTATATTATTGGCATGAGACACTGGCTCGGTAGATCATGAGGCAGTGGGCTGTTTTCTTCAAAGATACCCGGTATCAATTCAAGCATGTTCTATTTGATTCATCAATTGGCTACGCGGATGGGTACGCAAACGCTGTGATTATTGAAGGAAGCCTGACAGGCATTCAAGTAAGCACGTGTATAATTGGAGTCGTATGCGTCGAAGATTACCGACCTGAGCAGCAGCAGGACACATAGGCACCCGTCATGCGATCCTGGTCCGTCCTTGGTGGGGGCCGTAATCTAGCCTTCTCATCGACCAACACGCTTCATCAACCAACTCCAACACCAGCATCATTCAGGACTCGGCATCCCTTCATCGTCCCTGGTACTAAGTTGTTACAAAGCCTTCAATTTTCACGATCTTTCCGAAGCAATTGATGTGAAATCGGATTCGCCTCGAAACTTCCCTGTCGATCAGTCCTAGCACCTTCACCCTCCACCACCTCACAATCTCAACCCAACCCACCAAAACATGCCCTCCGTGATCAACGGCAACCTCTCCCACCGCCCTTACACCTTCCGCGAATCCGCAACCCGAATAACCCACATTCTCCACCACCCCTCCCTACTGACGCCGCGCGAGGTCGTGCTGGGGATCTACCTCGTCTACATAGCCTACTGCACCGTCCTCACGCTCCGCAGCATCGGGTACCTCGTCTTCGAGGCTGGCGGGCGGGAGATGTGGTGCCCGGAGGATCCGCCTGTGCCGGAGTGGTATCCGCCCGGGTGGAAGGTGGAGCTGAGTCGGTGGGATTGCTTCCGGATGTTGAGGTGGATGGTGCTGAGGAGGGTTTGGGCCTTGGGGTATGAGGTTTTTGCGTGGGGTGTTTTGGGGGCTTTGGGTGCGGTTTTGGTGGAGGAGGGTGTTAGATGGGTTAGAGAGTGAGCGTGAGATGATGACTGTTTGGATGTATGGCTTGCGTTGAGGGTGGTGGGCGTGATGTTGATGTGGATCGAACAGCGACTTTGAAGTTTGGAGGCTACGAAGGTGACTTGGATAGCCACGGCCACACTGAGAATCACGGTTTCGAGATTTGTAAATTAAGATATGATAAAGAATAAAACATCTGCGCGTGTGAATTGATCATATTCAACTTTGTTCAACGACTGGGTGTTTTTCTAATTCATTCCAGCAAGTCTTTAAATCAGCCAAGCTGGGTCAAGTCGGGCGCCTGTTCAGGCCTATCATGGCTCCTCAGGAAATGACTCGAGACCAAATTAAGACGAATTCAACCACACTCGCGTCCATTATCTTGTCAAGACGGCAGAATATAGCTCTGCCTCTGACATCGTGGCCTCTCACATCTTGGGCCGGTCATCTCACCCATCTTCCCAATCAAGCCTATAGACCGGCATCGGAATCATTTGTTTCTTCAGTTGCATCGACAGAATCCTCTTATTCACTACGTTGCCGTAGACTAGGTACGATCACCAAATGGTGATAGAAGGGCCCGGGTTGTTTTGTGCGGGATGACGGAGTTGATGGGCTTTGGTCCGGGGATGTCCGGATGGGGAGGTTGGCGTTTGGCGTGGGGAGTTTGACGATGTAAGTGCACAACGGATCTTCCTGAGATGGACTGATTCAACTGAGTTGTCTGGGCGCTGATGGTATCTTTGATGCATGGTCTATCAGCTTCAGATGAGCGAGGATCCAATGCGGGAGCATCTTGCAGCGGATACTCGATGATACAAGTCTCGGCGAACGGAGGAGAGAGTAGACGGAACATGAAAACTACTACCAAGTATAGCGACGGGTTGTTGAAGGGTTTACAGAAAGGGTGGTGGTGCGACGATGACAGTCACGTTCGTTCCAAATCATATGATAGAAGAGAGGGTCTTTACGAAGTGGAAACGCTCATGAGTGTGATGCAAGGCGATGTATATTAAAGCGAATACCTCAAAGTTATCAAGAAGACTACATGATGTGCATATTTTATATCTCAAATGACATCCGTGAGGTCCCCTTATTGTTGGACATATCATATTCCCTTACCGTCTTGTAAGTCAGGTGCAATTCTGACCTACTCATAGGCGATGGAGTTGTCGGTGTGCTCCCCCTTGTGGTCGATTTACACTATGCACTAAGGGCCGAGGGAAAAAGTACTTCACATTCACTGCAATTTAATCATCCCTAAGGCGACGATGCGGCCTCATGGAAAGGCTATCCTTCACCTCCGCAACCATTTGTTGTTGACAGATTGGGTACTGCAATTTTATCCCACCAAGGCTGGGGTGTACATCCCAACCGACTCCTATAGAGACCGCATCAAGCTTGTCCATGAGTGATGTCAATTGAGCTCGCAGCAATTCAAACTTATCCAAGGCCGGACGTTTGACTTCCAATAAGAGGTTGGGATTGGGTATCGCGCATCCGCGGTCTTCACTGCGATTTCCACTCTCCCAAAGGCAATGAAGTGGGGTGACTCGGTGAGAGCCGGTGAGGGCAGTTGATCTTGACCCTTAGTCACCTAATGCACCTCGTGCCCCCGGTCTCACTGCAATTCTAACTTCCCCCAAGGCAGTGACGAGGGGGGGCCATAGGATGAAGTGGGGCAAGACTGCCAGCGGGGTCTCTGTGCATCAAAAAAAAGAGGGAAAGGTTTTCGGGGTGGCTTATCTAATCTCCACGTGACGGATAATTCTGGCTCGGGTAAGGGAGGAGCGTAGGGTTCGGTGCTCCACACCAGCGATTCACCAAAAACATTTTCGAAGTCGTGAAATTTCCAGCCTAGTTCACGATTCCACGTCCGCCATCTAACCCTCCAGCCAGCCCCGTAGTTGATTCCGACACCCCCAAACCGACACAATGGCCAAGCTCTCGTAAGTCATTGTCACTCTATTCTTCGAATCCAGCGACGGCGCAAAATTTTCGGCTTCTTTTCACCCCTCCTCCAGCGACGACGGAGGTTTTGGTGGGATGCACGCGGCATGAAGCGGGCGGGCGCTCGAAATTTCGACACAACAACACTACGACCGACGCAGGGAAAGAGGAGGAAATTTTGACGGCAGCAAGGCAATGGCCGGAAGCGTTGGATTGGGGCTCGGCTGCGACAGAAACACCGACTGACGGCATGCACGAATGGGTAACAAAAATACTGCGCGAAACGACACCCCTCGCCCACCGCTAGCCCACCCCCAGAAACGAAATTTTGCGCCGACAATGGAGGGGACATGAGCAGAGAAGATTCCGGCAAACATCAAGACGCAGAAGTGCTGACCAGATTCCTACAGTCGCGGTGCCCCCGGTGGCAAGCTCAAGATGACCCTCGGTCTTCCCGTGTACGAACTCTCCTCTCTCCCCGAATGAGAGAAACCTTCTCTCTGTGGTGGGAACTCGTCGCTGACTCTGTTGCTCCAGTGGTGCCGTCATGAACTGCGCCGACAACTCTGGTGCCCGTAACCTTTACATCATCTCCGTCAAGGGTATCGGTGCCCGCCTCAACAGACTGCCCGCCGGTGGTGTCGGTGACATGGTCATGGCCACCGTCAAGAAGGGAAAGCCCGAACTCCGCAAGAAGGTCCACCCCGCCGTCATCGTTCGCCAGTCCAAGCCCTGGAAGCGTTTCGACGGTGTCTTCCTGTACTTCGAGGACAACGCCGGTGTCGTAAGTACTTTCTGATAATTGGGGACTGGGGCGCGTCGGACAGGACTTGGCTGCGCGGCTTTCGTATAGTCGAGCTCTGAAGATGGCGTCGCTGTTTCGAGGTGACGATCAAGAACTGTGGCTAACACATTGACTACAGATCGTCAACCCCAAGGGTGAGATGAAGGGCTCCGCCATTACCGGCCCCGTCGGTAAGGAGGCTGCTGAGCTCTGGCCCGTAAGTTTTCCCATCACAAACGCTCTTGGGATACACGAGACTAACACTCATGTCCAGCGTATTGCCAGCAACTCTGGTGTCGTCATGTAAAGGAGTTTTTTTTTACACAAGTCAAGAAATAAAAGGGCGAAAAGGACGACGTTATGGCTACGGATTAGGTCAACCGGTGCGAACCATTGGGACATACTTCATCACCCCTCCTCCTCTCTCTCCCTGACACCTCTCTCCCCCCACCCTGTCGTCATGAAGTGATAGAGAGCGAGGTCGAATGGATTCCATCATCACACACAAAACACCATCTGAAAGAGGGTTGTGGGCCTGGTTTTTTTCTTTTTAGTTTCCTCGCTGGACTGGCAGGCTCTGCATTTCGGCTGTGGCGTGTAAAGGGAAAGAAATTCATACCAGGCATTTCGCATACAGGAGAGATACAAAAATCCGATTCTTTGCGCACGTTACACATATCTGCCTCCTACTTTCCAAGTCGCTCCCCTGTTGGCGCACGTGCTGCCTGTGAATTTGCCATGCCCATGCTATGCTCTCAAGGAGACGGGTGCCGTCAAATCCCGACCTGGCAAATGCCTAGGTAGAAGCCCATCTAGCAAGTCTTGTCAGTGGGCGACGTCTGCATGTGGTCTTCTCTCAGTCGCCTCGTATCATATCGGCGACCACGGAATTAGGGTATAGGTTTGCGACATGAGGCTCTGCTCTACCTACACAGCAATTTTGACCCCCTCGCAAACCATGGCTTGCGCTCATACTCTGCTCAATCAGCCTGGGCCAGACCAATCCTACCTACCCCCTTTCCATGTTCTCTACCTGCGGCAACTTGAATTGCCTTGCAGTGATGCAACCTCTGCGCCGTAAACGAACATTTTCGTCGCAAGACCAGTATCGATACTTCGGTTCCTTTGATTTCATATCGCTAGCTGCCTCACCTAAACCACATTCGCATTGCGAATAGGTACTTTGAAATCGCCCGCCAACGACGGTTATCTTGGTCCGAACCGGCCTACATGCTACTCAGCACGACGGGATTTGATAGTTGATTGAAGTAGACGCAAATCATAGCGTGGATGTACTTGAAAGGAGCAGTTCGCATAAGTTGCCATCTCCAATGATCGTGAGGATGTCCTGGATCAGGAGTAGATGAAGACTTCTGAAGAGGCCTTTTCACAGCACGAGAATAGCATTATGATTACACTAGCAGACGCGAGCATGCTTTATGATCGTGAATGCGGTATTCTCCCATGATGCCATCGTCTTGAAGCCTTGATGTAGACTAGAATTGTAGTGCTTCCGTGCATTGGAACAGGTCTGTCTGGCCTGCGCCGCCTGCCACCACATCGCTCACCTCGGGGAATAAGACATACGTGGGTGCAGGCTGATCAAAATAATCACAAATCACTGGCTGACCTAAATAAGGGCGGGGGCCATCTCGCAGCTACTACTATACTCGAAGACATCCATACTCTCCGAGTGAGTTAAAATCGCAGTGAAAATTGTCACCACCATCACCCACCATCAACCACCATCAACCACCATCAACCACCATCAACCTTCATGAGGTGCGTCAAAGGAAGTGTAGCTTGCCATTCATCCTTATGATTGGCCAGCGAGTGCCTCTTCAAAGATCTAGGGATCTGTAGTGCTGAGGACAGGTCGGCTCTGGGACCGAGTGTTAGGCTGGCCCGTAAAACAGAGTTGACGATGCCCTTCTCACTAAATTGAGACGTCAAATCGAACAAGATAATGTTCAGGCTGAACATACGCGGTTGTGGCGTAAAGCGTGCATGCCTAAGAGCCAAACCCTTCTCGAAGAGGACCAGAGACTGTTCGCTTGGATTTGGTCATGGTCGAGTGGACCAATGAGGATGTATTGAGAAGATTGATATAGACCCTGAAACGGGCACAACTCAATTTTCTCGAGGACCAAGACGCCGTTCACGGGTGTAGAACATCAAGGCCTTGGGAGGATTCGAAAATACTGGGCAATGCTGACCTGCATTCCGGGCCGCGGGCAGCTGTCAGCAAACGTCACGACTGGCCACAATTGCTTCGCAAGCTACATGTATCACACGTTCTTACATAGGTACCTTGCCTCTACCTCAGCTCTCGAGAAGCATCAAAAGCCGGTGGTGAAATCAAATTGAAGGCTGATATCAAAATACCGGAAGCGGCCTGTGAAAAGTTGGTTGGATCCCCGACCGTCGAAGTCTCAAGATGATGGCTTCGCGACTAAGAATCTCTCGTACCTGAGCGAGCGGCCAGCGAAGGGACATACGAGAAATTCGCGGCAGGTAGGGCTAGTTAACGAATCTTGAATGCTCCAAATGGAGGCTATTGACTCCAGAAGAGGGTTCTGAGTGATCTATGTCAATGTTTTCGCCGCTCACTCAGGCGGTGATTGATCAGTAGAGGAGGGAGTACGTTCCAAGTGAATTGAGGTTACTCAATGTACCAACAGCGACAGCCACCTACACGTGAGGTGCGGTGTGGTGGTTATAACGCGTCAGCGACGTTGAAGATGGAAACACTTTGCCTCATCGCGGAGGAAAGGAAGGTAAGCTCGTTCTAATGAGTGTCAACCGCGAGGTGCCAAAATGACTTAGCTAGCTTCTCAAGATGACCACATTGTCCTTCTTGGACTAGGCGTCGCACAAAGAGAAAGGAGTCGCATCATAGATAGTTGAGTGAGGCACATAGAAAACAGGGTATGGAAATGGCATCAACGTCAATTTCGTCAAAGATTATCGACTCTATCCATCCACCGCCCTCGTACCAGAAGACAAACCTCAACCATCCATCACCAACCCATATCCTAGGACGTCTCAACGAAATCCTTCAGGCAGGAAATCAGAGCCAAAATCCCTCTTTCATGAGCCGCTTAGACATGCGAAAGCTCTCCCTCCTTCTCAAGGCTGGATGACAGACAGTCCACGACTTGACTCTCCACTTCCGTTGACGTGCCACTTCTGAAAGACCACTCACTTCAGCGAGCTGGTACTAAATCGACGAAATTTCGTGTTCGTCGCTTGAAGTCAAGAAAAGGCTGGCGCAAATACACAAGAGCCGAAGAAAAAAAAGTTCGATAAAATGAAAAAGAAAAAAAGAAAAAAAAGTGACGGAGACGGCGGCAATGCACAACCCCTCAGTCGATACGGGAGCTGAGGTCGGTGTACCGTCCCGTCGATCCATCGATGCAAAGATCCATACGCTCTCTCTCCTCTTTTTTGGTTTCCAACACTCGAATCGAAAATAGAAAAAGTCGGATGCCCTCGCTTCCCGATGCTGATGTAAGAGAGGTCATCTCCCAAGGTGTCTCTCCCGATATGTGTACTCGAACAAGAAAAACTGAATTAGGTGTGTATCGGTGCGGGCCTTTTGCGTGTTCGTGTGCCCGGACTTGTCCACTGCCATCCGGATGCGACTTTCGTCATGCGAATGGGTATACAATGCTGATCGTAGAAGACTAGAAATAGTTGCTCTGAGAAGCACATGATGCTGGTAATGATATTCGTGGATCTCGTGACCTTTTGCGGTTGCGTTTTTCGATGTGATCCGTTTGGGTCAACATCCTGCTCTGCGTGGTAGTTTAACGTGGCGTTTTTGACGATGTTAGTAGTTATTTTGGATTTGTTATTGTCCCTGTCCCATGGGGAAGGGTGCTGGTTGTCCAGATTGCTGGAGTTGTATGGCCTTCTGCTGAGCGATTCGAGCCGCATCAGCTTCGGCCGCGGCAGCTGCTGCCTTCTTCGCAGCGAGAGTAGCCTTTCTCTTATTGACAGCGCCCTGCATGCTGCCATTGAGCCATCGTTCTATGAAAATTGTTAGTGAACTGTGAGACCAGTGATGGGATTGCGTGAAGCGTACTTTTCATCGAGGCCGACATCTTCTCCGACTTGGTCATGGTAGAGTAATCCTTCTCCTCCCCTTCGGCCTGACTAGGCGGGGCTGATGACTTGGCCGAGGTAGGTGCAGACATTGGCGCTGGTCGAGGGGTCGACAGGTTGTACTCGCTGACGTCGGTAGATGTTTGGCGCGGCGAGGCTGGGGGCTTGATGGTCCATCTGGAGCCATTGTTGATCAATTTGAAGGACATCATCAGCCGGGGCTGAGGGGACTCGGCTGTATCGAGAGTCGCGGCGAAACGGTGTATATCAGCGAGAACATGTTCGCCCAGCGTCTCCTTGGGTGCGAGCTCTGGTGCGCTCTGCTTTCTGTTGATGCGAATGATGCGAGCCTTCTTAGGTTGAGGTTCGGCCTCCACTTCCTCCTCATCGACTTCCTCCTCATCCTGCCAGTTTCGCTGTCGCTTCTTCTGGCGCAGTCCGTAGGTAGATCCGGCGTCTGAGATAGTAGCCATGGATGATGCCGAGGTAGGGCGAGACTCGTCGGTTGTCTCGGGTGCAACAACAGCAACATGGCCGTTGCTCTTTCGCTGGGCTGCGCGACCTCTCTTGGGGGTCGGCTTCTCGGGCTCTTCTGGCTCTTCCTCGACAATGGCGGCTGACTTTGGTTGTCTGCCACGCTTGCGCTTGGGAGGCTGTACCTGCTCTGGCTCCGGCGGCGGAGCGATAGACTCTTCTTCGGGAGCAGGCGAATTCGGCTCCGAGACCACCACGGCAGACTTCCTACCTCTCGGGCCTCTCTTTTTGGGGCCGGGCTTGGCAGGTGACACTGTTTGCGGCTCAGGCTCAGGCTCCTCTTCGGGGTCATGGGCAGAAGCCGCCTTTTCTGCAGCGGCGGCCCTACCGCGTTTCTTCGGGCCCGGCTTGTTGCTTCCCGGGGTTGCTGCACGGTGGTCGTCCTGTAACACGCCGTCAAACAACTTCGGGGGGTTGCGAGTTCTCTTGCCAGAGACGATGACTCCGTCGCCCTCGGCAGCTTTGGCGCTTGCTTGCGGCTGGCTTCGAAGTTGACGAACACCTTCGCCTCCACCACCCTTCTGAGCGCCGGGATCTTGGTTGCCAACTTTGTTGGGGTGAGGATCGTACTCGAAGTGATACGTGGCGGCCATGATCCTGTCTTGTAAGCGTTGCTCGAGAATACCGGCGTCTTTCTCCTTGATCGTGGCCCGAGAGCCCTGCACC